TTGAGGCGCTTGAGTCTTTTTTAGAAGATTGTGCGGAACAGTTGAAAAGGCCATTGCTAATTGGAGTATATGACCGAACTTTTGAGCACACTAAACTTTTTGATCGTTATATGAAAAGGAATGTTATTGGAGGCGTACTTCCCGAACTTTATACATTTTAACAAGGAATCTAGATTTTTTCATACATTTCTATCTATTGGGTGTGTCGTGTTTGGTGGAAATTGTGGAATACACGCGCATTACAACTTCACATTGCAAAGATGATAGATGTATTTCATAGATGAATGTTTCCTTCTAACTAGATTCATAGGAAGTTCCAGACCTATTTATCAGTAATCATATTCTGGTCAATATGAAAATTAATTCGCATTACCTGATTCGTTTCTAAAATAGATTTAGAATGAATTAGGTTCCGAGGGACTTTATATCATTAATTAAAAATCAATTTGATCAAGAGAATTGCGTCAACGACTAAATGATGCAGAATAGAATAAGTATCCAATGCACGGTGAAATACAGAAAGGGATTCTAAAAACCAGATTGTTGATTAAATCTAGACCATCATTTATCATTTATTACGTCAATTTATGTGACGATCAAAACATTTTTCAGGTCCGGCACCTGAGCTGCATTTTGCATTATGAACTAATTCACTTCAAATTTTATCATTTTATCAAAGTAACAATACAAAGCTCTACAATAATTTATTCAATGACAAAAAAATTTCTCGCCCCTCACTTAAACTCTAAGAAATTAACAGTAACAATAATAAATACAAAAAAAAAAGTTCTAATTACAAAAATACCTTAACAATGCCGTCTCTATCGGCACTAATTAACATTGGGTAAGGTAATTCGGATATTTTTAGATCGGTTATGCAATCTAAATGATTCACAAGCATTTGTTGTTGTTGATTAAAGATCAATTGACTCTTTCCATTATTTTGTTTACTCTGTTTCGATGAACGTTTATTATTGTTATGACTCGATTTGCCGGAATTAAAACTGTTTGACTGTGATGAGGCTTGTGACGAGGATGCTGAAGAGGACGAATTATTTGCACTACGATATGTAGGATGCGATTCGTAGTGAACATGTATACCATCATACTGCTTTGTGCTAAGTGAAAGATAGTTGTGTAAGTGATCACTAGTAATTATCGCACAACAACAACAACAATAATAATAATAATATACCCATATGTAGGCTTGGCTTCATCAACTT